CTAGTGGGTATACGGCATCTTAGACAAAGAGAGGAAAGCTTTGGCTTTCTCCCTGGCTGCCTTCTCTCTGGCTGCTGCCTGCCTGCATGTGGATGGAGAATGTGTCCCGAGAGAGGGGCAGCATACATTCTTCCGTCTGGCTGGACGGCTGGTCGGTTTGTTTTCGCAGTTCAGACAAACAGACAGACAGAGAGGGTGGGCGGAGGGTGTGAATAGAGGAGACGACTGATATACTATACGAGGGGCTGATGTGCAGATGGACGGCTGCGTGCTGTGTGAGTGTACACATAATGTTCATGTCGACGCTATGTGTGTGCTGGCTGGTTGCTATCTGCAAACACGAATGTATCCAAAATCGGTTGACGTGCATCATTGCTCAGGCGCTCTCAGTCCATCCACACACAAGCCGCCCATCCATCCAGCGTCTGCCATGTGGTGTCTGTGTGTGGGTCTGCGTCTGTATGTGTGTGTGTGTATGGGACACCACGGCGTGGTGGGCAGACGGACTTGAGATCATTGTTTCGGCTGTACTGCTATTTTCTGTTCATATCATTGTGACACCTCCCTGATGCGACCCCTCTCCGTGGTGTTGCGCTGGTGTGATACGTGCGGGACTCCTCACTGAGCCGTGGGGGACGTTTGGTGGTGCGTCCCTCACTGCTCGCTGAAGCGGCCACCACGCATCGACGCAGACGCAGAGAGAAACCACACCAGTCACCCCACAGCCGGACACACCATAACAAACGAACACATCCATCCATCCATCCACACGTCATGACGCCACAGGCCCTCCCTGGCTCCTCGCTGCCTGGCTGCTGGGAATTCTGTTGCCTTGTGCTGTGGTGGTGTAGTGTGTGTTGTCAGCTGTGCAGTGAGTGTCGCCGAAAGGGGCAGAGTCACTCCTTTACCAGCCAGCCAGCATAGGCAATAGGTAAAGGAGTGCATGACACGCAAGCAGTCAGTCCATGCACAGAAACATGGAAGTCGGTTATTGATCAGGTTGTGAAGTTCCCACCGCACAGTCACACACACACACACATGCACCCCAATGAGCCGCATGCACTGTTCCATTCATTCGCCCGTGTCTTGTGTGTCAGTCTGTGATCGGTTCGACGGCCACCGCACACAGAGAGCGATGATGGACACTCACTGTGTGAGGTGGCGATCGAGTCCATGACAGTCAGCGCACCAACACACGATGCACACCAAAACAAACCAACACAGAGAACCAAACAGACCACCCCATCTCTCTCTCTCTCTCTCTGGCTCTCACACACGAGTACATGAAACCCATAGGAAGGATTGTAGTCTGTCTGTCTGTCTGTCTGATTGTGTGTCAGACAGACAGAAGCAGGCATGCGTACGTGTAGCGTAGCGTGTGGGTGTAGTGAGGTCAAGTCACATTCGCATATCAATCATTACCCCCCGTCAGACAGCACAGCCGGAGGGGACGGCTGTCTGATTGGATTGCCATCCATATATGCGTCACCCCAATACACAGGCAGGCAAAACAACAAATACAGCTTCCCTCCGGTGGCTGGACATGGCCACGACCAGCCCACGCGCACCTCATTGTGTGTGCAGGTACTTACGAATTGCATGGTATGGCATGGCGAGGGGGAAAAAGGCAAAACACGCCATTGCCATGCCATACCATGCAATTCGTAAGTACCTGCACACACAATAAGCTGGCCTTCCTTGCTGCCTGCCGCAGTGAGTGTGTACTGTCTGTCCGACGCGCACAATCGAGCCATTGACTGGTCATCTCATCACACCAACACGGAAATGCCTCGCCTGTCTGCTTGCCTGCCTGCCTATCTGTCTGTCCATGTGGCCCGCTCGGCGATGCAATGCCCCTGTGCATGAGTGAGTGAGTGAGTGAGTTCACACCCCGTGTGTGTGCACGCACGTGTGGTGTGAATTCGAGTGTCCATGCCGTTCCTAAGAAACCAAGGGCTGTGCGCCTCTCGAGGGGCTGGGCTGCATATACGTCTGTTCGCGAAGCAAGTATACGTGTGTGTGCTGGTAGGCAGTGGGAATATCCACACATTCACGCAGGGGATACGGTAGTTCAAGACACCCATCCATCATGCAATTGCAAACCAGGCGAACGGACGGGCAGCCATGAACAGACAGACAGACAGGCAGACAGACAGACAGACAGGCAGCCAGGCAGAGAAGATACATACAATCGGCCAGCCAGGCCCTTTCACACCAAAGGATGGAGAATAAAGAGAGAGATACATCGTCAGTTGTCAGTCAAATGCGATTGACAGGCGGACTAATTGGTCTGCCATAAAAAACACACCACATGGCCATGCATTCACGTCACACAGGATTTCATGAATGAAATGCACGCGATTTCTGTGCGTTTGTGCGCGTGTACGCACTCGAGAAAAACAGCCCACCCCCCACCCACCCCCGCACCACACCGTCTCAATCAATCAATCACGACATCGCAGCTCACTAACCCCTCCCCTCCCAATCAGCCAGCCATGCACTGGACACATCAGGCACATACAGGCGCCCTTCATCTGCCACGTTTGGCGGTGAGCGAATTTCCCAACCATCTGCTCGTTTCGCCTGTGACGGTGAAGTCACTGCCGAGCCGGGTGCCCCCAGCGATGTGGTCACCCACATCTGCTGCGGCCGGCCATGTCGCATCTAGTTGCTGCAGCCCTCTCAGGCTCTGGCAGATCGCTGAGAGGCCCCAACGGATGTGACTACCCGCATCCTCCACACCCTCAGGCACTGAAGGGACACCACAGGACACACGCAGCCAGGGATTCATCAAGTGAGGAGAGAAACACCTGCTCAAACCTTCATTCGGCTTACCAGTCAGGTTGAGTTCTACTTTGCCGATGGTTGGCAGTCTGGCGGCAGCATCCTGGTGATCCACCAGCAGCCTCAGATCTACGCCATACATCACCAACATCTCCACCTCTCTGTCCCTCCCCAACCCCTCCAGCAGATGAATGCTGTCCGCGAACGGCACACCATGGTCGACCACGAGCTTCTTGACCTTCTTGGGCATCTTGGCCGCGAGCGAGCCTGCCGCCGTCACGCCTGCAGCCGCCCCCCCCGCAGCCGCCCGCACCCGTAGGGACTTGGCCTGTTCCAGCGGCTGCAACTCCGAGATGATGATATCGGGGCTGTCAGGAGGGATGGTGGAGGTGGGCCAGGCAACGACCTCCAGTTGGGTCGCCTTCTCGAAGGAGTGTCGGGGCTAAATCGATTGCCGCCTTCTTGGGTGGGAGGAGGGGGCCGTTGGGGAGAGTCACACGCAGAGTCTCCGCCTTGGTCGCCAGCTCCTGCACGGCCGTGATGAATCGGGGGGAGGGCTTGGTGGGGAAATGGTCGCTGTGGAGGGTGCCAAGGTCGATGGTGCCGTCCCCACACCCGGCAATCTCGACTGGCACGGCCGACGGTGCACAGCAGCTGGTGATGAACTGTTCGAGGGCGCACAGCCGGAGGAGCACGTCAGTCCCGTCGGCTGCAGGTGGGAGGGACACGTCAAGGCGCTTCAGGGACTTGTGGCAGCCATGCGCCGATAGAGCCTCCTGAGCATTCGTACAGGGATCAGTCATGCCAGCTTGGTGCCGTGATGTGTTGTGATGGATCACCTGAAGCTGATCCAGACCCGGAGGGCTTGATATCTTGATATCGCCCATGCTCTCCAGCCGCGCGAGAGGCCCCTTCTGGCCAGGCCCTCCCACTGGCATGCGCTCAAACACCGACGCCCACTGGCGATCCCAATAGCACCCACCGATGTGCTGCAGGCTCGTCGATGTCCTGACGAAGCCTCCCAGACTGTCAGTGCCCCACCCCTCCTGCCTCACTATCGCGAGCGACGGCATCCGCCACTCCCTGTCGGCCAGAGTGCTATGTTTCTTGCGGAGCCCAATCACAGAGGCGAGGGCGTCAAGGGTCGTGGGATGGGCGGCGGGTGGAGGTATGGACAGGGGGATACTGTACTGGCGCTGCAGGCGTCGCTGGACAGGCAGATCCAGCACGCTCTCCTCGAAGGCTATTGTCTGCAGAGTCCCTCCCTCCATGTTGTTGGCTCGCCGCTCCTCGACGTGGCCCTCGATGAATGCGATGAAGACATCGAAACATCACAGCGAGAGGTGCACGGGGTAGACGAACACGACAGACGTGAGCCGAGTGAGAGCGGTCGCCAGCCGGGTGACGAGGTCGAGGGGGATGCGCTGCCAGATGGGTCCCGCCTCGCTGTCCTTCGCACTGATGACCAGCCGCGTGTGGTCTGGCGCTGCGCGCTCCCAGATGTGCCGCGACAGCTGAACCAGCACGTGGAGGGGCAGAAACACCGCGATGCAGTCAAGGAGGCCAGGCTGCACACATCACACACAGATGGAGAGAGGATGGAGCAGAGACACGCCAATGGGTCAACCATTCACAGAGGCTGCGGCCGGTCGTGTCGAGGTCTCACCGTGTCTGTGATTGTGTCGACCAGTCCATTGTTGATGTGGCGACGCGGAGAACGTTCTGGTTGTGCTGATTCATGGGCGGCTGCAGAAACTGACTCCGGTGCGGCTGGAAGAGAGCCGAGAAGATGGGCGGGCTGAGGCCTTCTCGGTCGAGCAATTGGCTTGGCGCTCGCCTGATGGAGGCACATGCAGACAAACAGCAACAGAACAAACATAACACACCTCACGATGCCATTTTCATGACCTGCCGCACCTTCATGGTGCCACCCGATGCCGCCGGTTTCGTCAGCCCATCGATATCACCCAAACGCGACAGGGATCGTCGCTCTATGAAAACTCGTCACAGAACCCTGCTTGTGGTGGTTGACGTAACCCTTACCCCAAACCCGGCAGCCCCTCAACCCTAGCGGACGACAAATGGAGCAGCCGAAGAAGCAGCAGCAGCAGCAGCCGAAGGAATTTAAACCAGTGATGGGGCGGCCGCCTGTGACTCTGTTGGTCGACACTTAATTACTTGTGGGGGTCAAAAGAGATGGGCGAGCCGCAGAAGAGAGACCTCTCTCATATCCATCCATCAAGAAAGGAGCAGGTCGGCCAGCGAGGTGTCCTGCTGGCCAGCGTGTGAACGCTCACTCACTCACCCACCCATCGCATGGGCAAGACAGGCCATGGATGTGCGGGTAAGAGAGCGAGAGTGCACACCCTGGCCAGCTGCACGTGTGCACACGAGGGTAGGTAGAACGAATTAAACACGCCGTCAAAAGGAGAAAAGCTGTGTTTCTCACAGAGTCTTTGTGGCAAAAGGGTCAGAACCAATCGAGTGGCCGCGCCCCGTATGGATAAATAAATGGACAGACAAATAGGCGACCTGATCATACATGTGTGTGCGGGACGTCAGCCGATATGCACCATACATGTGTGTGCAAGGAAGGCGATGCTCAATGGGCTCGCCAGCCAGCCAGCCAGCCAGCCAGCCAGCCAGACGAGCCCATTCAGCATCGCCTTCCTTGCACACACGCAGGTACACAGTGAGATACAGCTAGCCAGTCAGTCAGTCGCCACGATGGACACATAATGAATGCACTCATTGATCATTCACTGACATTTGAGTCATTGTGCAGTCAGTCATGTGTGTGTGAGTTGATAAATCGACAGACAGACACACACACAGACAGACAGGCGGCCAGGCCACACCACACCAGATCACACAAATACACACATACGACTGGATGGGATGAAAAGAATGGGCATTGTCAAGTGCGATTGACAGCCGACCATAAACACACCACACCATGCGATGCGTTGCGTCCATGCACAATTTCATCAAGGCAGGTGAATTGTGCGCGTGTACGCACTCTCAAAAACTGCACGCTGAGACGGCCACGCCCCCACCCCCACCCACACCGTCTTAGTCACACACGACACTCTTCGCAGCTCACTAACCCACAGCTCCCGATCAGCAATCCACACACACGGACAACAGACACCCAGCCAGCCAGCCAGCCAGCACCGTAGTCGTCCATCCATCCATCCATTCATCCATCCACACAGAGCTGAGGAAACCGTGTCCGCTCTCTGTGTTTGGGTGAGCTGTGTGACCTTCTTACGCGTGAGTGAGTGATGGATTGTCTGTCTGCCGTCTTGCCTTGCGTACGCGTAAAAAGTCACGCCGCACACAAAACACTCACTCACGCACGCAGGCAGGCAGGCAGGCGAAGAGAGGCAGCCACACAGACCAGGCAGAAGAGATGCAGGGACAATTGCTGGGAGAAAAGGCCTGCCTCGTTCTCTCTGTGTAGTATTACTGCAGAGTGTATTAGAAGTTTTGCGTGTGTTTATCGAGGAGGCCAAGGCAGCTCTCTCTCCCTCCATGGACACAGACACTTGCCTCCTTTGTGTGTGAGGCAGTATCAGCGTCACTGGAGAAGAGAAGAGCTGCCTTGGCTGGCCATACAGTACACACATCCAACACAACACAACATGCCACAACACAACACAGCACAGCACGCCACGCCACACACATGTGAAGCATCGAGTGTGCATGAGCACGTGCCACACACTCGGCGACGGGGTGTGGCACGTGCTCATACACTCGATGCTTTACATGTGTGTGGCGTGGCCAGACAGACAGACAGACAGACGGACGGACACAACAACATACAGCGAAGCCCACTGACTAAGCCCTCCCCAATCAATCGCTCAGCCATTCTCAAGTCAACACACACACACACACACACGTGTCCATCCATCCGTCAACGCCCATTTTCTCTGCTGTGTTTTGGTGTGCGAGTACTCCTCTCTGTGTTGTGTGTATGTCGGTCTACAGAAAGACCGATGCTCGTAGCAAGGCATGCATGTGTATGTGTGGGATGGGCTCTCTCACGAATGTCAGGTGAGATCGATTATATACGTCATAATCGAGATGACATTACATTCGTACGAGAGCCCACCCCACACATACACATGCACACACAGCCAGTCCATGACAAAGGCAGCCAAACCAGACGAGCAAACGGATGGATGGAAGGCAGGCAAATCGCCTTAGCACATGGAGCATTCACCCAGCAATCGGCCATCAGCAGGCAGGCAGGCAGGCAGACGGGAAGACAGGCAGACAGAGGCATGTGTTGTACACCATCCAAGCAATGCTGACCGAACTCATGATAGGCAGGCAGACGGGTACGTATGTATGTATGTATGTACGTACATAGCAGGCACCGACGGGCGAACACCAACATCCATTAGCACACCACACGCGTGACGCACCAACGGCGTGCAAACAGACACACAGACAGACAGACAGACAGACACACAGACACACAGACAGACAGACAGGCACCCGCATGTGTGCAACACCACACCACAGCGTGCCGCACCCATCCATCCAGGCATGCAGGCAGGCAGGGTCGGGATGGATGTATGGATGCGTGGGCCAACGCTCGCAAACTATCAGTCAGGCAACCAGCAATCTGCAGCCAACACCGCACACACAGAGGAGCACCATATCAATCAGTGTCGCCGCCCATTCGTGTGCCGTGTGTCAGTCACCCTACACCCCTCCCGCCCCGCACCTGTTGAGTGTGTGTGGGGTTTTTTGTATCTTAGCTCTCCTTCTCCTCCTCAGACGCCACGACACCCTCCGCCTCGCTCTCCCCGTCATCTTCCTCGTCGTAGTAGTAGACATCCTCCCACTCCTTCTCCGGCACACCAACACCGCCGGCAGCACCACACGCATCCGCCGTCGAGGGCTCTGTGATGGTGATCGTGAGCATGTAGCCGTCGGCATAGAGGTCCTCGACTTTGGCGATGTTGGTGTCCTGGTACCCGGTGTCGGGGAGATGAATGCACGGGCGGTCGTCCCGTTCTCAACCGAGATGGAGAAGGACAGGGGGAAGTCGATGGTGTTGTGGGGCGCGAACGGGAAGGGCGGGAGGAGTCGCGACACGTTGAACGCCTTCGTACGGCCTTGACGGGTGATGCTACAGAAGGAGATACATAGCACATCCACAGCAGGCTCTTGTGCGGGAACGGGTGCAGTGTGCGCCTTGCTTGTCTCACCGCATGTGTGCCTGAGCATTCTGATGTGTGAAATTCTCGACGTGGATGTGTCCGGCGTCCTGCACACACACCAGCCCGACAGCCAGAACCACAAGAGACACACAAACATGAGCCACCCATGAGCCCATAACACCCATGTAGCTGCCTCTCGTACCTCTTGCTCCAACAGAATGGCACCCATCGCCAGCTGTTCCTCTGGGAAGCGTACGACCCCGTCGCCAACATCCAGTCCCTTCAGTCCATCCTCCAACTTGTACTGCGCCACTCCTGTGAGTTGTCACTTTGTGCTCGTTGCCTGCAGGAGCTTCCTTCTCTCTGCCTTACCTTGTCACACTCGTCGTCAGCCGGGAGAGAGGTCCTGAAGAGGTAGGGAGAGCGGCGGCGCTTCTGCACTCTGGTATCCATCGCTGCCGAGGGGACACACACATTGCAGCGCTGCAGGGAAAGGAAGGGCAATACAAAAAGGTGAAATCAGTACGACACGCAGAAGAGAGGGAAGAACAGCACACTCCTGTACTCACCTGATGGACACAGAGTTGCCATAGGCAGTCGTCGCCAGCCGCTCCGCAGAACAGGTCGCCCCCTGCCGTGCCACGGAGGTTGATCAAGGAAGTGGCGGGCGGCCCCCGGGCAAAAGGGGAGGCATGGGAGGGGGCGGGGCGGACCACAGAAACCAACAACCTGCTCAAACGGGAAAGAAACGGAGGAGATGTGGATGATCAAAGGCTGGAGAGCACGACGGCTACGAACCGCGGGAACGGTGAGAAAAAGAAAAAAGACAAAAAAGAAAAAAGACGGAACCGCGTCTCGCAGCAGCGGTTTCAGGGAGCACCCGAGGCGGCCTGGCGGCCAAGTCCCCTGTTGGTCTGTCCAACATGAAAACACGCACCCTAACATGCAACCCGGACACGCAACACGCAGCACGCAGAGGGCAGATGCAGCAAACAGGAGGATATGCAATGCGCTGCGAACGACGGCAACATACAGGCAGGCAGGCACACAACGTCGCACACACGCCACCGCAGCAGCAGCTTGAAGGCGGCGTGCATGCGTGCATCCTGCACCATGACTCCATACGTAGATACCGCCCATCCCCAGGTGGCCAGCCAGTGCAGATCGCCCAGTCACACACAAACACGCCCTTACAACAACCACGCACGGAGTGCTGGGGGTGTATTGAGAGCGCGCCGCCGCCCCACTCTCCATGGCGGAGAGGGGCGGCAGGCGGCCGACCCGTAGACCCCCCCAGTGCACGCCCATACACATCTCGAATCTCGGCGGGGGGAAAGGGTACTGTGAAACCTGAACCTGACTCAAGCTGCAACCATCCCGCTTCGCTTTTCTCCTGGTTTCTCGTGGTTTCTTGGCGGCACGGCTTTCCTCCTGCTGTTGTTTGGCTTCTCTCATTGCTCATACTGTTGATCTGCAAGTACACACCTCTGGGGCGACTCGTGGATCACGGATGTCACAGCTGTGGCATCGTATAAGTTGGAGGATGGACCGAAGGGACTGCATCCTCCAACTCGTACTGCGCCACTCCTGTGAGATTGGTGATACAGATGTTGGTCCTTGTGGACCAGACGTCGCCCCTCCCGACTCGATGTTGGCGACGGGGTCGTACGCTTCCCAGCGGAACAGCTGGCGATGGGTGCCATTCTGTTGGAGCAAGAGGTACGAGAGGCAGCTACATGGGTGTTATGGGCTCATGGGTGGCTCATGTTTGTGTGTCTCTTGTGGTTCTGGCTGTCGGGCTGGTGTGTGTGCAGGACGCCGGACACATCCACGTCGAGAATTTCACACATCAGAATGCTCAGGCACACATGCG